ACATAAATGGAAGAACATACCATGCTTGTGGATAGGAAAATTGAACACTGTGAAAATGTCAATACTACCCAAAGCAATCCATACATTCAATGCAATTCCAATCCAGATCCAATCTACATTCTTTAAGGATATGTAGAAAACAATCACTAATTTTATATGAAAAGGAAAGAGATCTCAGATAAGCAAAGTACTACTGAAGAAGAAGAACGAAGTAGAAGGTCTCACATTCTGAGATCTCAAAACTTACTGTATACAGCCACAGGAGTCAAAACAGCCTGGTATCGGTACAACGACAGTCACACAGACCAGTGAAATAGAATTGAGAACCTGGAAATAGATCCATCAGCCTATGTTCAGCTGATCTTTGACAAAGGGCCAAAATCCATTAAAGGGGGAAAAGACAGGTCTTTAACAAATGGTGCTGGCAAAACTGGTTACTCATTTGAAGAAAAATGAAACAACATCCATACCTCACACGATACACAAAAACTACCTCCCCGTGGATTGAAGATGTAAATGTGAAACTGAAAACTATAAAGTTCATCGAGGAAAAAATAGAGGCAAACTTACAAGCCCTACTTCATGGCATAAATAGAATAGAAAGCATACCCTAAAATGCACAAACAGCAGAGGATAAACTAGATGAATAGGACCTTCTAAAAATTAAATTTTATGTGCATCAAAAGACTTCTCCAAAAGAGTAAAAAGAGAACCTACAGATGGGGAAAAAATATTCGACAATGACAAGGGATGTATCTCTAAAATTTATACGAACTCCAACACTTCAACATCAAAAAGACAGAGAATCCAATTGGAAAATGGGCAAAAGACATGAATAGACACTTCACCAAAGAAGATCTTCAGGTGGCCAACAAAAACATGAAGAAATGTTTGCAATCATTAGCCATTAGTGAGGTGCAAATTAAAACAATGAGATACCATCTTACCCTAGCACTGATAGCAAAGTTGAAAAAAGACAGAAATTACCAAATGCTGGTGAGGATGTAAAGATTCTGTAAAGATTTCCAGCCTTGGAAACCAAATGGAGTTGCTATGAAATGGAAACAACTTGATGGCAGTGAGTTTTTGGTGAGGATGTAGAGAGACTGGGACTCTCATACACTGCTGATGGGGCTTTAAAATTATACAACCACTGTGGAAATCAATATGGCAATTCCTTAAAAAGTTGTAATTAGAAATAACATTTGATCCAGCAATACCATTATTAGGTATATAACCTAAAGAAGTGAGAACCAGGACACGAACAGATAAATGCACACCCACATTCATCACAGCACTATTCACAGTAGCAAAGAGATGGAAATAACCAAAATGCCCATCAACAGAAGAACTGGTAACCAAACTATGCTACATAAACACAGTGCAATACTACGCAACACTAAATAATGTAGAATTTGTGAAATACCACATAACATGGGTGAACACCACAGAAGGCCAAATATTGTATTATTTCAGTATGGTAAAAAGTCAAGGAAACGTTTATATATGGAAGGAAACTTTCTCTATTGGTTACCAGGGATGGAAGGGGAGGGAAGGGAACATTGCTAGATAGGTAGAGAGAAGTATTGGTTTGGGTGAAGGGAAGGGCAATATACCAAAAGTGAACGATCAACACAGTGGCACTGAGGAACAGGAAGACACAGAGAGGTACACAAGAGGTACAGACAACAAAGATAAACTATTTTACATGTATGATACTGCATTATCGGTGATAAAAAAAAACATTAATCTACAGGTAAATAGATGGATAGACAGGCTGAATGATCAGGTATGTCTAGGCAAAAGGGAATGTACTCATGAACATATATAAGGTTGGCAGACAATATTTCTACATACACACTTGTATGTACTGTAAGAATGTCCATATAACTAGAAGTAATGGGGGGCAAAGTTATGATAACTTCTTAGGCACAGTCAACCACCCTGATGGCGTGAATTGTTGGACCTGTGGACTCAGGACCATGCTCACAGGGGACATCAAGCTCAATTTGCATAGCATACTGCACATAAACACTGTTCTACATCCTATTTTGGTGAGTAGCAACTGGGGTCTTAAAAGCTTGCAAGTGGCCATCTAGATGCAACGATGGTTCTCTCCTCATCCAGAGCAAAAAAGAATGAAGAAAACCAAAGATAAATGGAAACAATTAGTCCAAGGGACTAATGGACCATGCAATCTTCAGCCTATATGACCATGAGACTAGAAGAACTAGATGGTGCCTGGCTACCACTGTCAACCACTTTGGAAAGGAATCAGCGCAGGAGATCCTGAATAGAGTGGGAGAACAATGTGGAGCTAAACTTAAAATCATAAAAAAAAGGTTTACTTGTCTGATAGAGCCTAGTGAGACCCCCAAGACTGTGGCCCCTAGTTACCTTCAGATTTGGAACTGAACTCCTGTGGATTCCAGCCAAACAGTAGACAGGAATACAGGGTAAACACGTACATCAAATAGATACACTCCTTGGAGCAATCAATCGTGGGAGAATAGAAGTGCAATGTTTGTACAGGGAGATAGCTTGTGGGGCAGGAGTGCATGGGAGGGAAGGACACAGGGAAGAAGTAAGGACAGGGAGGAAGTGGGAAGAGAGTTGTTACACTGTGGGGAATTGCAGTCAATGTCATGAAACAAAATGTGTATGAACTGCTGTACAGAAAATGAATTTGCTCTGTAAACTATTACTCAAACGACAAAAAAAAATTAAAATTTTTTTTAAAAATTGTAGATGGGTAACAAGTAAACAAAGGGATAACTGTGCACTAAGACATATCATCAAACTCACCAAAACCAAAGACAAAAGAAAGAATCCTGAAAGCTGCATGGGAAAAACGAAAAGTTACCTATAAGGGGGAATCAATAAGACTAAGCTCAGATTTCTCAGCAGAAACCATGCAGGTGAGAAGACAATGGGATGGTATATATAAAACCCTGAAAGAGAAAAATTCCCAACCAAGAATTATATGCCCAGCAAAATTGTCCATCAAAGATGATGGTGAAATTAAGACATTTCCAGATAAGCTCAAACTAAGGGAATCCGTTAAAACCAGACCAAGCTTACAAGAGATGATAAAGGGAGTCCTTTGGACAGAGAAGCAACAACAGCAAACAACAACTGACCATTACACATGATGATATATCCCAGAAATCAACCCAGCCCTGTAAGTATCCAAAGAAAATAAGCCTACAAGATTGTAAACAGGGAACCAGAGACATCAATTGACAAATGAGGACAACTACAAACCAAAAAGAGGGAAAAAACTGTGTTGCTACAGAACTTCTAGATGGTAGGGAAGTCAAGACAACTACAAGATAGAACAGACTGTTCTAAACTTGGGAAGAAAACTATAAATGACAGGGTAACCTCAAAGAAAAATGATAAACCTTCACATCAAAAAAGAGGACCAGCACAAATATTTAGCAAATACTAAAGCAATAGCAATGAAGGAAGTGATAACACAATTCATAAACAAAATGAGCTCAGCATAGAAAATTACATGGAGCAAGGAAATCAACACCATGAAAAAGCATGTAACAAAACGACAACGACAAATCACAATAGCAAAAAGATGGAAACAACCTATGTGCCCATCAAAAGAAGAATGGGTAACCAAACTACAGTACAAACGCACTATTCAACACTGAAGAATAATGTAGAGTCAGCAAAACACCGCATAACATGGATGAATTTGGAGGACATTATGCTGAGTGAAATAAGTCAATCACGGTAGGACAAATACAGTATTAGTTCATTGTTGTGGAGGGTCAAGGATAGGTTTACATATGGAAGGAAGTTTTCTTTGTTCATTGCCAGGGGTGGGAGGGGAGGGAAACACTGCAAAAAAAAAAAAAGAATGCATTGACCCATGTCACTTTAGTTTTGTGTATTTCACTGTACATAAATTATATTGTAATAAAATGCATTTTTTTCTTTTTTAAAAAAAGGGATAACTGTGATGGTTAATTTTATGTGTTAACTTGGCTAGGCTATGGTGCCCAGTTGTTTGGTCAAATACTATTCTAGATGCTGCTATAAAGGTATTTTGTTGATTTAATTACCATTTATCAGTTGACTCTAAGTAAAGGAGATTACCCCTGATGATATGGGTGGGCTTCATACAACCAATGGAAGGCCTTATGAGCAAAAACTGAGGTTTCCTGGGGAAAAGGAATTATGCCTCAAGTCTGTAACCTAGACATCCTGCCTGAATTTCCAGTCTACTGCCTAGCCTATGGATTTTGGACTCAAGGTTACTGAAGTTTCCAGCCTTCTCCCTTACCTACAGATTTTGGTCTTGCCAGCCCTTCTAATTGCATGAGCCACTTCCTTAAAATAATTCAGTCTCTCTCTCTGTCTCTGTCTCTCTGTCTATCCTATTGATTCTCTTTTTCTGGAGAACTCTAATAGAAATAGTTTCTCAAATGTTAGGCTACAGTACTCACCCTTATCAAAACCACATCAGCTGCTTCAATGGCTACATCTGTGCCTGTGCCAATGGCAATTCCAACATTAGCCATTGCCAAAGCTGGAGAGTCATTTATTCCATCTCCTACCATTGCTACTCGTTTCCCCTCCTCTTGAAGTTGTTTCACCTTAGCAACCTTGTGGGAAGGTAGAACTTCAGCAAATACCTTAGTAATGCCAACCTATATAAGGAAAAATAAAGTTAATTCATTTCAAGAAATATTATTGAGCATCTGAAACATGCTTAGCAATGAGCCATCATTTTCACCCATTAGATACCCAAACTTTAGAATACTGACAATGTCCAGTGTTAGTAAAAACGTGGAGAAATGAGTTCTCTTATACCGTTAGTAGATGTGTAAACTGTAGGGTATTTATTTGGCAGCATCTATCAAAATGTGTACATCCTTTGGCCCAGTAATTCCCCTTCTAGCTATATTTTGGACATACTTTCACATGTACAAAAAGATATATGTTCAAGGATGTTCACTACTGCTCTGTTCGTAAAAAAAAAAAAAAAAAAAAGTTGAAAACCACCTACATCCATCATAGGGGAATAATTAAACAAATTATGATATATACATACAATGCAATTCCATGTAGCAATGTAAAAAGAATAAAATTATTTTTTATGTTCAGGAATAGGAAAAGCTCCCAGGCATATTGTTATATTAGACAAAAGCAAAATACTAAACTATCTGTCCAAAATGATCCAATTTATGTTGAACATACCAGAACTATGTATTTGTATATGAACATGTAAGTATATGAAAAAGTCTGTTGTTGTTATGTGCCGTCAAGTCAGACTGACTCATAGCGACTCCTCCTTGGGTTTCCGAGGCAGTATCACTGCAGAAGTAGATTGCCCAGCCTTCCTTCTGAGGAGTGGCTAGTGGGTTTGAACTGCCAGCCTTCTGATTAGTAGTCAAGTGCCTTAGGCAGTATGCTACCAGAGCTCTCTGAAAAAGTTTAGGGGAGTAGAAAAACTCTAGGGAAGCAGAATTGCATCAGAGCATGGTAAAAGGATGGCTTAAAATTTACACTTTATATCATTCTATATTTTTTTAATATAAGAATTATGAACATATGGCTGGTATTATTCAAAGAAGAGAGGAGAAGATATTCCAGAGTGGAAAATAATAACATAAGAAAAGTTTTGAAGGTAAGGCAAATTTGGGGATCAGTAGCAGAAAAATGGTATGTCAAAGTAATGCATTAGAAAGACTGTTCCATCAGTGTTGTTCAGGGTGGACTAGTGGGGGGAAATACATGAGGCTATTGCCATATATTAGGCATGGGACTATGAAAGTCTGGTTTAGGCTGGTAGTATTGAGGAAGAGTATGAGCAATATGTCAAAGGAATCATCAACAGAAACTGCTATACATTCCCACACAACTACTAATAAACTAGTTGTTGTTGTTATGTCCTGTCAAGTAGACCCCCGACTCATAGTGACCCCTCCTTGGGTTTCTGAAGTGGTATCACTTTGGAAGTAGATTGTCCAACCTTCCCTCCAAGGAGTGGCTGGTGGGTTTGAACTGCCGGTTTTCTGGTTAGCAGTCAAGTGCCTCAGGCACTACACAACCAGAGCTCCTAAAACTAGATAAACAGCTTTTACTAACAGTAACAAAGTCCAAAGACCTTCCAGCATGACACACCAATTTTTCTTTAAGGAAGCAGCTAGGGTTACTCAATGATAATGAAAATAATAGGTAATATGGACTATTTTAGAGTCTGAAGGCAAAAAATAAAATGTATATGAAGAATAAGAAATTACCAACCACATACCCCCACTCCAATAACTAAGTAAACCAATTACCTGAGAAGCAATAGATCTAGCTGTTTTACTGTTGTCTCCAGTCATCAGAACTACTTCTAAACCCATGGATTTCAGAATATGAACAGCCAATTCTGCTTCAGGCTTCACTGTATCAGCAATGGCTATCAACCCACACAGCTCATCTAATATAGGAACAGCAAAAATGAAGAGAGCTTTAAATACAATGGAAGAATATTACTTAAAACTTCAGAGGTAAATGAATTACATTAAGTTCATTAATGTTCAGGGCTTAGCTTAACACAATATATCTGTGAGTCCAATGAAACTTCATACCACAAACCCAGCAACGAACCTCAATATTTGGTAATGAAAATTCATAGAATAAGGAAGGGATAACTAATATATGAGTACTAGGGGTTAACTGTTGTTGTTATGTGCCATCAAGTCGGACCCGACTCATAGAGCCCCTCCTTGGGTTTCCGAGGCAGTATCACTATGGAAGTAGATAGCCCAACCTTCCTTCCGAGGAGTGGCTGGTGGGTTTGAACTGTCAGCCTTCTGGTTAGCAGTCAAGTGCCTTAGGCATTACACTACCAAAGCTCCTAGGGGTTAACAGTTGTTTGTTGTTGTTGTTGTTATGTGCTGTCGAGGCGGCCCCGACTCATAGCAACCCCTCCTTG